CAGTCCACGAGTTCGAGCCCCACGTCGGGCTCTGGGCTGATGGCTCAGAGCCTGGAGCCTGTTTCCGATTCTGTGTCTCCCTCTCTCTCTGCCCCTCCCCTATTCATGCTCTGTCTCTCTCTGTCCCAAAAATAAAAAACGTTGAAAAAAAAATTAAAAAAAAAAAAAAGAGAGAGAGAGAGACAGCACTCTGCCAGGTGAGCAGCTGTGCGGAATCTGGATCCACACGGTATCTCAGCAGTTAAAACAGTGGAACAGAAGAGCTAAGGTAACTTTTAACAAGGAGGCTTGCAAACACCCAAACCTAAGCCCATCAACCCAATAGACTATTCAGAAATCATGGCTAAATGGCAGCCCTTGTGAGACAACTCAGGACTCCAGCTGATGCTAGACAAGGGGATGCGATGATACGAGGCACCTCCCACAGCTGTGATGGCCGAAGCTTCAAGGCTGGTTGGACTTTAGCCACGGTCCACTCTGGCCACCCCTGCAGTAATGTCTAGCTTAGAGGCCTCCCGATTGAAAGGATGTGTTTCCCAAGTTTAAACCACATGTAAAAACCGTTTGCAACTTCGCTGCTTCTTTTAGACGTGTGTGTGTACGTGTGTGTGTTTGTATGTGAACTAATGCTCTATATAAAGTTTCACATCTTGCTAATTTCATCTATCATTGTGACACGAACACTTTCTCACACTGAAAATTATTCAGTGAACATAGTTAACGGCATGAATGAGTTCTAACTCAAAGAGAGAGCGAGAGAGACCCCACAAGGCAGAGGCAGAGAAAGGAAGAGAATCCCAAGCAGCCTTCACACTCAGTACAGAGCCCAACGCGGGGCTCGATCCTCCGACCACGAGATCACGACCTGAGCCAAAATCAAGAGTCAGATGCCCAACCGACCGAGTCACCCAGGCGCCCCAAACACAAATTTAAACTGCAGCATAATATTGTGTGCAGTTATATCATCCTGGGCTGTAAACACACACCCATTTTACTAACACTGGAGACAATTTTGTGATTCTTTCTGCCATTACAAACAATGCTGTGATGAATAATTCAGTGTGTGAAGCCTCGCCTATATTTGGGGTTGTCTTCTGTGTAAAATGGATGTGGATGTGTTCAGAGCACAGTGTCCAGGATGGAGATTGAATTTGGGATCCACGCAATGCAATAACGTGTGTGTGTGTGTGTGTGTGTGTGTACGTGCGCGTGTGACACTTTCCATCTGATGAAACACTTACCTCTTTCTCTCTTTTAAATTTTTTTTTTTTTAACGTTTATTCATTTTTGAGACAGAGAGAGGCAGAGCATGAACGGGGGAGGGTCAGAGAGAGAGGGAGACACAGAATCGGAAGCAGGCTCCAGGCTCTGGGCCATCATCAGCCCAGAGCCCGACGCGGGGCTCGAACTCACGGACCGCGAGATCGTGACCTGGCTGAAGTCGGACGCTTAACCAACTGCGCCACCCAGGCGCCCCTCTTTCTCTCTTTTAAAGATACATCAGGGGCGCCTGGGTGGCTCAGTCAGTTAAGCGTCTGACCCTTCACTTCAGCTCATGTCATGATCTCACGATTTGTGAGATCGAGCCCCACATTGTCTGCCAGCGCACAGCCTGCTTGGGATTCTCTCTCTCTCTCCCTCCCTCTCTCAAAATAAATAAATAAACTTAAAAAAAAAAAAAGATACATGGAAACCATGGGGATATTTAACCTGAAGAAGAGGAGACTTAGGGGAGTTGTCATTGTCCGTAAATACCCCGGTGGCCATCCTTTGAAAGGGAAGAGACCAATTTGATAGGGTTCCAAAGAACAGACTCTGCCCTCTGTTGGCCAAGCTCTGCCCTCTGTTGGGGTTGCGCATTTTCTCCCAGCCCTTCTGTATAGAGAGGACAGCCTTTTCTTATTTTTGTACGTCTACTTGTGAGTCAGAGTGAGACTCCATACTTCCTGTGAAATAAAGATGAGTTCTAGCCAGGAAAAATAATTGTCAAATCTTTAGCAAGAAAGAGATTGATCTAAGCTTATGCTGTCAGCAGAGTTGAGGTTTACCACTGAGCTGACCTCCCGCAAGAAGAGAACATTTTGGTCTGGGGTGCTGTGAAGGGACTGAGGTGAGGGCATCTGTGTTTATACGGGTGTGTTGAGGAATTTGGCTGCAGCTGGGAAGGGGGCAGAGGAAGTTGGGTCCAAATGTGCAGAAGAAGTTGCGGTTGGGGGCCAGTCAGTACTGAAGGATTTTTGTTTCTCTGGAAGTCACGAAACACATTGACCCAGAGAGCAATTGGCAACATCTCAGAAAGTGACCGTGGAGGTAGATATGTGTTGCTTGAAGACCTGTCAATCATTGAGAAACACGGAACTCTTGCCAGCACTGGGCCAATAAGAACGGAAGGATAGTTGCCCTCCAGTTGCTAACGTTGCTGATGTAATGCTAAAGAAGCTGACGTTTAATTTAATGATCACGTATTTTAATAAGTACTTCTAAACCCCGCCCTCCCCAGGGGATACCTTGCAAAAGGTCTCTACCAGGGAGTAGGGGAAATGCTTCGACTTCCAGACACCCGCCCCCTCCCGGATATTTACCCACACACAATAGGAGAACCGGAAAAGGTTAACCACATCCAACAGTCTCAGGTAAGGGAAAGATGAAAAGCTGCCTACCCGGGATTGGGGGAAATTACTTAGCTCGCCCCAGCGATTCCCGGTGGCATGTGGGTCCACTCTACACCATTACACCCAATGGCCATGTGTTGGCCATTGGACTATGTGTTCATGTCCAGACAATGTCAGTCCATGTCCAGACAATGGACTATGCGTTCCCCATGAAGGCTGAGCTGCTTTCTCATCTAGCTCCCTGCCTGTAAAACGTTGGGAGACCCAAAAGTTATTTCAAGTGTTGAAATAGTCGCTGTTTCTTTTAGTTCAGATTAATGGTTCTTTTGGCGCTATGGCTTGCAAAAATAGTTAGTTGGCTTCATGATTTTTTTTTCAAGGGCAACCAACCACCAGCACCCCATGCAACCAAAACTCTGTTTTCCCATTTCTGTATCGAAAGCCCAAACCTTACTAGCCGGATTATCTCCCTACCAAGTTGTCTCAGATGAGAATTTTAACGAAGGTTTTGCCATTGCACAACAGGACTGTCACTTTCCCAATCGTGAATGACATCACCCTCACGGTCCTCCATCCGGACCATGCCAATGCCACTTATTTTTAGATTTTTGTACTTACTTCAGGCACTGATTTTTGTGTAGGTCAGTATTCACTATTATGTTACCACGGCCGCCCCTCAATCTCAGTAGCCTACAGAAGAAGGTAAAGGTTGATTTCTTGCTCACTTTACATGTATTCTAGCATCAGTCCCAGCTGTGCTCACATGTCCCAGGCTGGCAGAACAGCTCGTATCTGGGACAACAAGCAAGGCTCAAGACAGAGAAGGCGGACAGAGAACGATGGCGCAAGAACACTGGCTCTTAGGACTTCTTCTGAGAAGTGGCCCATGTGACTCCTACTGACATGGTTTGTTAGCCATATTAAATAAATGACCAAGGGGCGCCTGGGTGGCTCAGTCGTTTAAGCTTCTGACTTCAGCTCAGGTCATGATCTCACGGTTCATGAGTTCGGGCCCTACCTCGGGCTCTGTGCTGACAGCTCGGATTCTGTGTCTCCCTCTCTCTCCCTCTCTCAAAAAATAAACATTAAAAAAATTAGATAAATAAATAAATAATCAAGGCGGGCTTTGTCGGCGGTGGAGGGAATCATCTTCTCACAGGGAAGAACTGAATATTTGGAACAATAACACCATCTACCACAAGGCCCATAAACAGAACCCTCTTTCTCCCCTGAATTCTGAACTAGGGCACAGGACAGCTGAGCCAACACATAGACCATCAAAAGGATTCCTTTGTTACCAACATAGGCTAGATTGAGGACCGCAGCTTGGCATGAGAGCCGACAAGGGACTGTGGGTAGAAAAGGCCAGACTTGGAAACCTTACTGCCCAGCCGTTGCTTTGCTGGAAGGGGCAGGCCTGTAGGGGCGACCCTGCTCATGGGGGAGCGGAGAACACGCTCCAAGGGAAGAAACGGGTTCTCAAGCAAAGGCAAAGGGGGCGAGGGAGAAACCTCACAAACTTTCCAGGCAAATAAGTTATTCCAACTTCCCTGAACCAGAATTAAGTGAACAGACAGAGGAAAGTCAGGAGGGCCATGCTAAAAAGCTCCCACCGCTTGGAAAAAAACAAGAGCAGTGGGGAAAAAACCCTTGGGGAGTAGGCATCTTTCAGATGAGGAAACTGAGCCCAGGGAAGACCAGTCACTCGCCCAAGTCCCAAGTGGGCAGCCGAATGCTCCCCAAGTCCAGGGAAGTAGGGATAGATTTCACTTAAGAGACATTACGGGGTGCTTCGGGAAGAGGAATTTGTGATTTGGGCGAAAAGCTTAAGACCGGAGGAGTATTTTCTATGTGCCTCTATGTACTCACATTTGTAGCTGCTGACTTCATAAAAGTCTTCTCTTTGTTACTGCCATGGACCCTTGCCCCTATTCCCACTCCCCAGGGAGGCCATTTTCAGGAAACCACAGAATCTGTAAAAATGGGTTGACGGGCTTATTGGGCCTCTTTTACAGGCGAGGAAGAAGATGGCAGCCCAGGCCCATGAGATTGGAGGATCCCGGGCCAGTGCCAGAGGGGTCCACGCAGCCCCTTCCCCGCCCCTCCCCCCCCCGCTCCCCCCGCCCCCCCTTTGCCTTTCACAGGAATGTGATTCCTTCCTGGTAGCAAAGTCGAAAGACAGAAGAGGCCGGCGTCACCGACGTGCGATTCCAGGATTTTCGGCCAGCTGCGTAGCCTGGAGGCGGGTCTCCAGCACAAACCCTTCCCCCAGTTCTCCCCCCCGCACCCCCCTCCCCCGCAAATCCGTAGGGAAGCGGGAGAAAAGGGGCAGGCGCCCCAGTGTCGATCCCCTAGGACTCCGGTGGGTGGGGCGCGGCGGGGGCGGAGTCTGTTGCCAGGGCAACCCGGGGTGGCGGGCCCTGGGTCCCTCTTTTCTTTTTTTTCCGCTTCGCTCTGTGTGCTCGGCTTTCCTCACTCCAGTTGCCAGGAGAATGCACACACCACGTCATCGTTCTGCTTCCTCTTCTCTCCTTAGTTGGCTTGTTTCTCCAAGGTCTGAATCTCTCCCTACGCGATCAGATTGACCTCTGTCATTTCCCCGGCTTACTCACATCCCGGATGCCTCCAGCCAGTCTTGATGCCTTGGCCTGTGTGATAGGCAGTCTCTCGGATTTCTCCTTTAGGTCCACACTTCCCAAGCGAGGAGTTTGTACTTCCCTTTCCTGCCGATGAGCGGCCACAGCTGGATTCTGAGCCCAACCCGTTTTTTGGAGAGATTGATCTGGCACCAGTGGGGTGGGTGGGGTGGGGTCAGTAATAATAGCTATAATTTATTGCTCGCTTGTCTTGCCAGGTGCCTTACACACATTGCTTGTAATGTTTTGAGGGGAGCCTTACTGTGCACATTCTACAGCTGAGAACATTAAAGCTAAAAGGATTAAGCCAAATCCCCAGCTGTGGATTCAAGCCATCACGGACTTGGCTCCAATGTCTGTGTCCTTCCTGTTCCCTTCCAGGGAACAGCCAAAGGCAGGGAGGCCACTTGGGGAGCCCCTAGAGATAACGGTGGCCCAAATGAAGACAACGCAGTGGGAATTGCTGGGGCGGGGATGCCAGGAAGAGGCAGAGAGAAGCCTAGGGAATGCAGAGTCTGGGATGGCTCGTGGTCCTGAGGAGGGACACACAGAGGTAGGAAGTAATTATAGTCAATTATTTTTGTATACTACTTTACACAACTTCCACAAATATTAACTTGTTTGTTCCTCTTCACAGATTTGGGAGTTAAATCTCATTATCCCCTTGAATTCAGGTATTCTGACTCAAAAGCTGATGCACTCCACCCCCCCTCCCCCACTGTTCCATCACAAACTCTAGGAATAAACTCCTATGAAGGACGTCTGACTGTTAGCCGTGGTGTAATTTAGCTATAACAGAGTAGGTGGGATCTTTTCCATCCTCCAGACACACCCTCCACCCTTCTCCATCATTCTCTGTGGAGTAGGCTGACCTTTATGCACTGAATCAGGAGTCTCTCTGGTCAGGGCGCCTGGGTGGCTGAGTAGGTTAGGTGTCGGACTTGGGCTCAGGTCATGATCTCACCCTTCATGGGTTTGACCCCACATTGGGCTCCGTGCTGACAGCTCGGAGCCTGGAGCCTGCTCCGGATTCTGTGTCTCCCTCTTTCTGCCCTTTCCCTGCTCACGCTCTGTCTCTCTCCCTCAAAAAATAAATGAACATTAAGAAAAAATGAAAAAAAAGAAAGGAGTCTCCCTGGTCCTTTCTACCCGGGACTCCTCTACCAGACAGCTGCTGTCATCTGGCCTTTCTTTCTTTCTTTCTTTTTTTAATATTTATTCATTTTTTTGAGAGACAGAGCGCGAGTGTGGGAGGGCCAGAGAGAGAGAGAGGGAGACACAGAATCTGAAGCAGGCTCCAGGTTTTGAGCTGTCAGCAAAGAGCCCGATGTGGGGCTCGAATTCATGAACCATGAGATCATAACCTGAGCCAAAGTCGGACCTGAGGCAACAGAGCCATGCAGGCGCCCCTAGAATATTTTTACCATCCCCCCAAAAGACACCATACCCATCAGCACTCCTTCCCCATTCCCCTTTCCCCCCACAACTTGGTGGCCACTAATGTATTTTCTATCTCTATGGATTTGCTTACACTGGGCGTTTCATACAAATAGAACCATGTGATCTGTGGTCCTGTTGGACTGGTTTCTTTCAGTGCACATGTTTTCGAGGTTCGTCTGTGTTGTAGCATGTGTCAGTACATCATTCTTTTTTTTTCTTAATGTCTACCTGTTTTCGAGAGAGAGAGCGCGAGCAGGGGAGGGGCAGAGAGAGAGCGAGACATAGAATCTGAAGCAGGCTCTGAGCTGTCAGCACAGAGCCCAATGCCGGAAGTCAGTCACTTAACCAACTGAGTCACCCAAGTGGCCCAGCACATCATTCTTTTTTACAGCCAAATATTTCTCTGTATGTACATACCACATTTTATCTGTCCATTCATCAGTTGATGGATATTTGGGTTGTTTCCCCTTGGGGGCTAATTATGAGGCGGTCCTCATATTCCTGCGTACGCATATTCCTGCGTACGCATATTCCTGCGTACATTTTTGTTTGAACCGCTACCTTCTCTTCCCTTGGGCATATTCATAGGATTCGAATTGCTGAACCATCTGATAACTCTATGAATAACTTTTTGAAAAACTGCCATTGTTTTATAGTAATGTCACCATTTTACATTCTCCACAGCAGTGTATGAGGGTTCTAGCTTCTTCACACCCTCACTAACTGTCATTTTTTCCTTGCTTCCTTCCTCCCTTCTTCCCTTCCTCTCCCCCTCCCTGCCTCCTTTCAATTTAGAAATCCTACTGAGTCTGAAGAGGTATCTCAATACAGTTTTTTTTTAATTTTTTTCAACGTTTTTATTTATTTTTGGGACAGAGAGAGACAGAGCATGAACGGGGGAGGGGCAGAGAGAGAGGGAGACACAGAATCGGAAACAGGCTCCAGGCTCCGAGCCATCAGCCCAGAGCCTGACGCGGGGCTCGAACTCACGGACCGCGAGATCGTGACCTGGCTGAAGTCGGACGCTTAACCGACTGCGCCACCCAGGCGCCCCTCAATACAGTTTTGATTTGTATTTCCTAAATGATTAATAATGTTGAGCCTGCGTTTATTCTGGAGAAGTGTTCAGTCAAATCCCTTGCCCAGTTTTTCAGTTGGGTTGCCCTTTTGTTGTTGAATGATGACAGTTCTTTATATATTCTGGATCCTAGACCCTTACCAGATTTGTGATTTACAAACATTTCTACCATTGTATCATTTCACTTTCTGGATGATGTCCTCTGACACACAAATGTTCTTAATTTCAGTGATGTTCGCCTTGTCTATATTTTTCTTTGGTTGTTTGTACTTTTGGTGTCAAAACTAAGAAACCCATATCTAATCAAAAGTCACAAAGATTTACACGTGTATTTTCTTCAAAGAGTTTTCTCCCGTTCCATCCTCTTCGTAGGGTCCTTTGATGCACAAGTTTTTCATCTTGATGAAGTTCAGTGTATCTCTTTTTTATTTTATTGCCTGTGCTTTTGGTGTCACATCCAAGAAATCATTGCCAAATTCAAAGTCATAAAGATTCCCCCCCTGCCATGTTTTTCTCTAAGAGTTTTATAGTTTTAGGGTTTTGATCCATTTTGAGTTCATTTTTGTATATCTTTTTTTTTTTTTTTTTTTTTTTGTACAAGATGAGGATCTGACGTCACTCTTCTGCGTGTGGATATCCAGTTTTCCCAGCACTGTTTGTCAAAAAGATTATCCTTCCATCAGGGAAAGTTGCCCATGGGTCTTGGCACCCTTGTTGAAAATCCACTGGCCACGTATGTGAGGGTTTATTTCTGGGCTCTCTATTCTATTCCATCATCCATATGCCTGTCCTTGGGCCAGTACCACACCGTTTCGATTACTATAACTTTGTCCAGACTCGTTCTTCACCCATCCTGCCCCCTTACCCCCAACGCCTTCCCTGCCCTTTCAGGGTCTCCTGATCCCTCCTCTCCTCCAGAATGATTTCTACCACTCCCCTCATGTTGCTTTTCCCTTCCTTGTCCCCAGATCTTCAAGGGGCACCTTGAAGGATTCTCCCCCTTGATCTCTCCCTTTCTCTCACTCTGCAAACCCACTCTGTCAATCATCTCATGGGCTCTGCCTCCACACTATACTCCAAACCCATCCTCCTCTCTCTGTCTCCACTGCTACCACATGTGTCTGACCATTGTCATCTTTCTCTAGAACACTGCGCTACCTACTGATGGGACCCCCTATTTTTACCCTTGTCCCTGCCACACAGTAACCAAAGTCATCTCCTTTTTTCCCGTTTTTATTGTTTTAAGTTTCTTTACTTTGGGGGAGAGAGAGAATTCCAAGCAGGCTCCACACTGTCAGCGCAGAGACTGATGTGGGGCTCAAACTCACTAACCACGAGATCATGACCTGAGTCAAGATGACAAGTCGGACACTCAACCCACTGAGCCACCCAGGAGTCCCTCCCCCCTCCCATTTTAAATATTTTATGTGTATTCAAGCATTCCACAGAATGGCCAACAAGCTCTTGAGAAGATGCTCACTGCCCCCAGTCATCGTGGAGAGATAAATTAACACTAAAATGAATGCACACCCACGTTGACAAAGACGGGAAGCAGTTGGAACTCTTAGTTACTGCTGGCAGGAGTATCAAATAAGAGAGCCACGGTGGAAAACTGGTGACCTCCAGTAAAATTCAATTGGTGCTGTTACAGGTTTGGGCTCTCCAGGAAGCACATTCTGAGCTAAAGATTAATACTTATCGGCAGAGTGCTCTTGGGATCAGCGCTTAGGAAAAGGAAGGAAGCACGATTGTGGAGGAAAACTAGGGTGTCATGCTGTCTCAGTGGGGGCCTCAGCCAACCCTGGGGGGTTTGAAACCGCCGTGATGATTTAGCATTGAAAAAAATGAATTTTTATACCCCAGCATCTTTATGGTAGCACACTATCTCCAATCATTAACCTTGCTCCTCCCACACTGCAAAATATTTTAGATATCATTCCATATTGATATATAGCTTCCTCGGTTTTTTGTTACATTTTGTTTTTAGGACTGTATGGAGTATTCCTTTGAAGGGCCAGACCATAATTTATTTATTTTTTTAATGTTTATTTATTTTTGAGACAGAGAGAGACAGAGCATGAACAGGGGAGGGGCAGAGAGAGAGGGAGACACAGAATCCAAAGCGGGCTCCAGGCTCTGAGCTGTCAGCACAGGGCTCGACGCAGGGCTCGAACCCACAGAGTGTGAGATCATGACCTGAGCTGAAGTCCGACGCTCAACCGACTGAGCCACCCAGGCGCCCCCCCCCCCAAAATTTTTTTAATTAAAATCTCTGATAACTTAAAATTTAAAAAAAATTAAATGTTTTGTTTTTATTTATTTTTGAGAGAGAGAAACAGAGCGCAAGTGGGGGAGGGGCAGAGAGAGAGGGAGACACAGAATCTGACATCTAGTCTCCAGGCTCCGAGCTGTCAGCACAGAGCCCGATGCGGGGCTCCAACTCACAGACCATGAGATCATGACCTGAGCCAAAGTCGTTGGAAGCTCAACCGACTGAGCCACCCAGGAGCCCCCAGACCGTAATTTATTAATAATTCCTATGGCAACGTACATCAGGATGTCTCCAGTCATTTTGTCATTGCAGCCAACACCACAACGCATAAGACATTTTCCACTTTCCATCTGTGGCTCAAAATACTAGAGGTGGAATTGCTGCTTCAAAGATGTGCCCGTTCGTCATTTTGCAAAATATTGTGAAATTTCCTTCCCCAGAAATTGTACCAATTTTCAATCCTCTCAGCAATGTGAACAGTGCTCATTTCCCAACCTTTCTAAAGCATGAATGGGTCATGACTGCCCCAGTTTAATAACCCTGTAAACTGCAGGGGTCACAAGATAACATCTCACCACCACCCCCCCCCCCCACCCCCCGCAGCCTGGGAGGGCTTCCACAATTTGGCTCCTGCCGACCTCACATTCCATGACGCACTGAAGCCCAGTGCTGGGGGAGATCCTGAAGATCACTGTAGAAACCCGGATGCCATCCAGAAGGGGGTGGGAGGGAACTGGGTTTCCGTCCTCAGTGGGGG